TGGTTCATTGTATGCACAATAATTAAAAAAAAAGACAAAAAAAAACATTTAGAGCACTTGAAAAACAATTTAAGGATTAATAGGAGCAATATAAAATAATTAGGAAAATAAAGGGATAATAATGGAATAAAAATTAATACAAGTAAAACAATTGTAAATTCGAAGCTCAAATATCTTGAGTAATTATTACTAAAATAATAACAGAAACGTTATTAGTAGAAATACAAATACATACATACATGTTTCATAGGGTTGGACAAATTATGATGTTTGTTTTTCTGAGATAGGAAATTCTTTAAGTATTAAACAAAATATCAGCACTGTACTTTAGTAAAAAGTTAATCATTAGAAAATTTAGAGTTTGCTAACCCATGGGTTTATTGCAAAGGTAAAACAATTTGTATTTAAACTGAAAAATAAATAAGGTAACAAAAGAAGAAACTTAAAATGCTAAATTAACTAAAACTTTTCAGAAGCTGTCATGAGGCAGATCTGAGGTTTGTTTGGCCATATCGCGACACATAAATAATGATAATAAAAAGTAGAAAACGATTGAGGAATAAAACAAAAAGTTAAATTTTTTAGAGAAAAACAAAAATATAGCAAAAATAAAAGTTTTTATACAATAGGAGCATCTCCTTCTAGAATATCCCTATCCCTTTACCCCTTACTAACAGTTATAAATGAGCAGAAGCTATAAAACTGGGATTAAAAACCAGGCCTTTCTGAACCTTATTACTCCTGTTTTGGAAAATTAAAAAAAAAAAAAAAAAAAAAAAAAAAAAAAAAAAAAAAAAAAATTTAAAAAAAAAAAAAATGAAGAAATGAAGAAAAATAATAAAATTGACTTAAAAGGTATTTTCTGGCTTTGCTGGATAACTCTTATGTTGAGGAGTCAGGAGCTGCTTAAAAAGTCAGCATTGCTTAACTAGGGCAGGAGACAATGCGAATTTAAAAAATTAAAAAAAAAAAAATCCAAAAAAAAAATTTAAAAAAAAAAAAAAGGTCGTAGGGTGGAATGCAAAATATAACTGAAGTGGCTCATAGAGCTGTGACTAATGATGCAGAAACGAGTCCTTTCTGGCTTAAAGATCTCTTGTAATGGGCATTTTAAAAAATTTAAAAAATTCAAAAAAGTCTAAAAAATAGCTAAGCTGAAAAAAATTACAAATTTGGAAAGAGCTCTAGTAGTCGAGTAAAGTGCCCATTAGATGGTCCTTTTTGCATAAATAGAACCGAAGTTATTGAGGAAATAAAAAAAAAAAAAAGCAATTAAAATTTAAAAAAAAAAAAAGAGGAAATTAGAAAATCAAAACACCATTAGATGTGCAATTACGAAGTAGAGGGGGTTTCTAAGGGGGAAAAAAACAAGGAAAAATGGCTAGGAATGATAGTTTTCGAGATATAGGCTAATTAAGAAAATCAATTAACTTAATTAGTCCTATAACTCTCATGCTAATAACAATTAAGAAATTCTAAAACTATGGAATTGTCAGAAATGCTAAAATACATCTTGTGTGCAAGTTTCGGGCTGCTATTATAAAAATTGAGCTTGCTATGAAGGAATGAAGAGGAATGGAAATTGGTAAGAATGCCCATTGTATGCAAATTAGCTAATCCTAGACCCAGATTGTGTGCTTAGAATCTAGTTGACTGAGGGACGAAAGTGTTGAGAACCTTTGTATGCTGATGTTGCTGTAGGAATCAGTGCTTCTTAGGTAAACTAGTCGGAAGTGCGTAGACTTCGGCTGATTCTTCTAGAATATTCTGGAACATTCAACGGAAGTCGAAGCCAAAACAACAACTTAGGCAAATATGGCGGACAAGAAATGGAGTCAAGAATGGAATTAAAAAAATGTACAAAATGGCAATGCTAACTGAAATCTAAAATCGTGAAAAATAACACTAGAAAATTGGGAAAGGCGTCAAATTAAAGGGGAAAAAAAAAAACGTTAAGCAATACATAAATGAATAATGTGGGATTATTACAACAAGAGATATAGATTTATTAAAAAGAAATGCTCCAAATACATTCTTAGAGAGTTTGACAAAGCTCCGCTTTCCGTATGCTAGAGGGGCGAAAAAGTCCGAGGGTTGCCGAAGCAATCTTTTTTTAAAAAATTCGCGAAAAATCAGAGAATGCTGTTATAGTAAAAAGCAAGTCGCGGTTCGATATAGAATCGGTTGTACTAATATTAGATAGCTTTTCTAAGTAGAATTTTAAATAGGGAGGGCTATAGAAGTGATGAAACTCAAAACATTGAATCAGCGTTACTCAAATTCTCTTTTTCAGCTGCAAAACGCTAAGTTTAAATAATTATAAAAAAAATAATTAATGTCACACATAAATGCAAATACTCTTAAAATGATTGTAATACAATTGTCTTTGTTGCTGTGAAAGCGATTTTGCGCTGAATTCAATATTTTAAGAGATATTAAAGCACAATTGTAAAGGTAGAAAGGTGAACTTTGTCAACATCGTTATAATAACAAATACTAAAATTATAATAAAAATTTTTCTAAGCATCACATTACAATACACAATACATGAAATTAAAGATAAATGTACATAAATTCATAAATGAACCACAGGGAGACTCACCAGGGTAGTTTTCGGCTTTTTTTTTAGCCACTCATCATTAAATTTGTGTTATCCTTGGAAAAATAATGAATTTTGATGCGAAATTTCTGATTTTTGTAAGAAAAACACTAAAACACACTTTGTAGTAAGCTATGCAAGCTTATAATACACTATCCAGCGGGTTAACACGCTTTAAATGATAAAAAACACTATAAAAACACTTTTGGAAGCACAAAACTTCCTCTTCTCTCGTCACGTCTCGTTACGTCTATCAATCTGATTCCCGATAGATGTGGCCTGTCATCGTTACACTCTGAACATGCAGGTCAGTTCTGGAACCAAGAATAATTCCTCCCCAAACGAGCCATCCTGCACCACCGTAACGGTGTCGTTCAATGGTGTTCTCTTGGTGGTAACGGGTACCTGGCGCTGTCCATATGAAAGTCCGGCGAGAATCAGACTGCAAAATAAACCTGGGCTTGTCGGAAAACATCACACAAGACCACTGTTGCGGTGTCCACAATGCATGCTCTCTACTCCAGGTTAATCGCAGGTGACAGTGAGTTGCGGTAAGTGGAACACATCTGACAGGCCTACGAGCATATAGACCAATGTGCCCTAAGCGTCTGTACACGGTCTGCCTTGAAACTGTCGTACCGGTAGCTGAAGAGAGCTGACGAGACAGCTCCGTCTGTTTCTTTTGGCAGTAATTGCTAAATACCGGTCCTCATTCGGCGTTGTAACTTGGGGGCGACCTGTGCCGTAACATCTACTCACATTACCATCATCTTGGAATCGTTGCTAAAGCCTGGAAATGACACTCTGGGCGGTTCTAAGTTCCACGGATACTTCCAGCTGGGTACGTCCACATTCCAGTCGTCCGATAATTCTACCACGTAAAAAATCATCCATCCTTTGTGCCATAACTATGCGGTTATTGCACTGAAAGGCTTTTAAAGCGCTTGTGAACAATTTCACTTCTTTGCCACCATTCCTTATATACCCCTCTCTTACACTCTCGTCATTGTGACGTACTATCCGCGCCATCTGGTGGTTTCCTGTAATTTGCATATTCTTCTTCAAGATGTGTGTGATAATTCTACAGGTGAAATTTTTATTTTAGAGTTCAATTTCTGTGTGATTCTGAATTATCCTTAATTTATGGACATGAGTGTAGTACTTGTAACAATAACTAATCAAACATAACACACAACATTTACAAAGAAACAAAATTGGTTTCTCCACACTTGCACTTAGATTTTGCAAATCGATCTCAATTTGGGATGCTACGTCTGTCATGTTTGAGCGTGTTTTGTGTTGGGTCAATTTCATTTTAGAAAATAACGATTTGCAGGTGTAAGTTGAACCAAAAGCGCTAACAACTTCGACTGAGAGTCTGGTTTGATCTGCTATCAACAATCAACTCTTCGTATGTAGGGATGGTCATTGCGTCAATGAGGTCACTTAAAGTAACACATCCTGTTATATTAGATGATCCAAGATGCGCGCGCATCATGAGTTCGCAGACTATAAATTAAGTATTCTGCGAACTCATAACTGTAAACTCATAAATAAAACAGGCAATATCTGTCCTATATTTGCAAGAATATTATTTTAAAATCAAAGTTAATTTTCTCTCATCATTTCGACAGCTCATTTTTTAATATATGGATGCCCACATGATGTATTTTTTTTAATATATGGATGTCCACATATTGTGGCTTTCACTACCATTATAAGATTATTTTGTAAAAGTGGGATAAATCTTCCGGACCGGAAAAATATTCATATCTGGCCGCATGCGGCCCGCGGGCTGCAGGTTGGCCACCCCTGTTGCAGACTATACATTTTTTTAAGAGTTATTACAAAATTAGTATAAGCTGCGAGATATATTTAAATTTAATAGTACTTCACAACTCTAACTCTCTACGGCGAAATCAAAGCAAAGAATCAAAAATCTCGATATGGAACAATTCATGATTATAGATTTTAAAAGATGCATTTATTTTTTATTAAGTATATACTATAAAATAGTTAAAGAGTTAATAAATTGCTAAGCGATATAATTCGGATATTTATTAAGCATCATAAAAATAACATTGTCACATAACATTGGGTCAACTCTATTGTTCTTGTTGTTTCTTATCCCACTTGGCTGTCCAAGCCCACGAGCCCATACGTACTCATTGTTGAAGGGGAAGGAAGCAACTTCTGTTGTGATGGAGCACCCGTAGGTAGAAGTCTGACTTTGGCTCCGTGACGCTCTTACAGTCATAGGAGACCGGGACCTATGCCTTAAAGTGGATTCCGAACCACTACAAACATCCATGCCACCACCGGGATTCGAACCCGAAACATGTGGCACCGAGCGCGAGAGCGCCAGACTCTCGGCCATTCAGGTCCCAAATTTGTGAATGCCAACGGCACGCGGTGTTCCCAGGTGGTGGTCACCCACCCAAGTATACTGACCGCGCCCAACGATGCTTGACTTCGGTGATCTAACGAGAACCGGTATATTCAGCATGGTATGGCCGTTGGCAAAAGGAGTCAATTCTTCAACAACAATAGAAAAAGTACCAAAAATAAATTTATAATAAATATACACCCAAATAAATACATAAATATATAAAGTTACTCTCATATTTGCACAAAATGTGATGTAACACACAGACAAGGAAAAGGTAACAATTATAACTTCAATTTTTTTATTTATTTCGCCCATGATAATATATAGGGAGATAATCATTAAAGTATCACTTTCAAAACGCTGTAAAAAAAGAAATTAAAAAATTCTATAATACAAAACACTACAGTAATTATATAATACATATATACAGCTAAATATACTACTGAGCCCAAAAAGTAAAACCAATTTTCAATTTATATTTCCCTGGCATATGGAATTTCATTTTTTTTTTTTTTTTTAGGTTGTTGGCACTGTTCTAGACATCTGTGCGAAATTTGACGTCAAAATATTCATTTGTGTTTGAATTACGCTTGGCTTTGTGACACGTTAAAAGTGATTTCGGAGGTTTTTTGAAATGTCTGAATGAATATTCTTGTGCGGAAACGTATAGAATGTTGCAGAAGGCATTCGGTGAGCATTCCTATGTCTGACAGAAATGTTTACAAGTGGTATAAACAGTTCAAAGAAGGCAGAGAAAGCGTTGAAGACGAAGAGTCCTCTGGTCGACCATCCACCTCAACCCACTTTGAAGGAAATCCCTGCCGATACCTTTTTAGCATGCATTGAGGAGTGGAAAAGACACTGGAATAAGTGCATTGTGTCCGGCGATGAAATAAATTTGGAAGAACAAATATAGAGTTTTTGAAAAAAAAAATAATTGGTCTTACTTTATGTGCAGAATAGTGAATTGTAAATATGAGCGAGAAGCGTCAAATAATGAAGATAATTCTGACTTTTTCTATCCGCTTATACCTAATCAGAAAATCATATTTTTAATTTCCAACAAAAGTAATAAAATTGTTTGTTATATAACTTTAGATATGATTTCGTAAATCTAAATAAGTGTTGGTATTAAAATAAATTATAGTGAGGCATATTCAATGTTTAATGCTGAAAACGTGATATAAAAAGAAGAAAGAAACTTAGAAGAAATATATGACAAAAAATAATAATGTTGTCGTTTTTCTAGTTCAGCTGGTAATACAGAAACAGTTAATCTTTCATAAGAAAGGCTGCGCCTCTGTTACTCATTTAGAACTACCCAGGGGGGCAAGTGTAGCTTGAAAATATGTTACGGATGAGTGTAATACTACCCCCGCAACGCTCTATGATCCTATTAGAACCGGGACTTAAGGCTTAAAATGGATTCCGAACCACTACAAACATCCCTGACCCTGCCGGGAGTCGAACCCGAAATTTATGGTAGCGCTAGTCGCTCGGTCATCAGGCGCCTATCAACAGCAAGAGCTGCACCGCTGTTACTCATTTAGCACTACCGAGTGAGCGCGTAGACCCAGGGGGCATCATATTAGACGGGGACCTACCGGAGTAGTGTTACTCGCTTCCGTAGTATATCTTCAAGCTAAATGAATAACAGCGGTGCAGTCCTTGCTTATGAAAAATTAACTGTATTGCCAGCTGCGTTAGAACAACAACACGAAATAATGAAATTAGGTTTAAAATATATTTAGCAGAAAAAATTTACATACATAATATATCTTTAAAATGCCAGATAATCGATTCAAAATGAGAGTTCAAATGCATAGACAAACTTTGTTATAAAAAGAAAAGTTTATATTTAAGCAAATATATTTATATATTTTTACACCTTCTGAGAAAAAAAGAAAATTTATGAAAATATTATTTATTATTACATCGTTAAATTAATTCATCTAATTATACAGGAAGAATTTTGGAAGGTTGTATGAATATAGACGTTAACCTTAGGTTTACTTTATATTTAAACTTTTATTTAAAAAATTTTCAGAAATAAAATAAAATAAAAAATAATATAATCATATTAAAATCATATTCTAAAGAAAACATTTTCATACATATATTTTCAAAAGACCAGATAATCGACTCAAAATGAGGGTGAAAGTATATAAACGAATTCTGTTCTAAAAAGGAAAGGTCACATTTAAACAAATACAAAGTAATAAGCGTCTGAAAAAAGTAGTTAATTAGCATATTATCCAATGTTACATAGATAATTTGATACATCTAATTATAGCGGAAGCCATTTTGGAAGGTCGTAAGCATGTAGACGAATTCCTTGGGTTTACCTTGGGTGGGGCTGTCAGTACGCGTTCCTGATATGATTCCGTTTCTGGAAGCGGGTACATCACATCTTCAAGAGCAGCTCACTTTGGTACACACCGGTATAAATACAGCATTCAGCAACTGAAAAGTATCATTACTTAGTACAACTCAAGTAAAACATCTCCACCAACATGATTGCTAAGGTAAGAAATGCTTTTTAAATACTTCAATGGGCTTCCATTATTTTAAATGTTTTATCAATTACGTATCGAATAATGAATTTTAATTTAATAAGTGAGGTCATTTTATGGATAATTTCACATTTTTTTCATGGTTAATTTTACATTATATTACCAACATGTTGAAAATCATTAACCATTTGCCAAATTTTATTTCATAAATTAGATTTTTCCATGTTTTGAAGTTACAAAAGTTTCTAGAAATTAACTCGAGATTTTTATTTCTTCATTAGTAAAATATTTCTTTGAATTTGTTATAAAGCGGGCTTGATGGCCGAGTGGATAGTTATTATTAAAATGTTTCAAGAAAATAAATCCTTCCCCAAAAATTAAAGCGAATATTTTATTTTTAAGTTGATCAATTCCCATTCCCATTAAAAATTCCTCCAAGATTAATATAAAAAAGGTGTGTTGAGATTTATATTTACAGATAAAATAAAAGCCAAATAAAAGCCAAAAATCAAAATTTTTATATGAATAAATAAAATAATTTAATTATAATAATTAGAACAGTTGAATAAAAAAATAATAATGGAATTGACACTATAATTCGTTGTAAAATAATTGAAAGACTAATTATAAAACTAATTTTAAAATTTTTTATAAAATTTTATAAATTAGATTTACGAATTAGCTTACAACCATACCATATTTATTTCAGATCTCCGTCTTCTTCGCTGCCCTCGTTGCAGTCCAAGCCAGCGGTCTCCTGGGACACGGCCACCTGGTCAACACTGGAGTCAGCACCAGCGCCCAATCCCGAGACGTGAGTATTCCTTGGACACTAAGATCTACACAGTAAAAACTTAAAAACATTACTGCTTGAACACTAAATTCTACTCAATAAACACTAAAAATAGCATGACTGCTTGCGTCTATAGAGTTTTACAACTAGCTCTAAAGATTGGATCTGTTTACTTTTTAGGCTTATGGCAACTACGCTTTCGGCTACGGAATCAAGGACGGACTGGGTGCCACCAACTCCCGATCCGAAGTGGGAGACGCCCACGGAAACAAGAAGGGATCCTACACCATCGCCGACATCGACGGTAGGGCCCGACGGGTGGACTACGTCGCCGACGGACACGGGTTCAGGGCCACCGTCAAGACCAACGAGCCCGGAACAGCCGCCAGCGCCCCGGCCGCCGCCCTCATCGCCAGCCCCTACGCCGGACCCGTCGCCCCAGTCGTCAACCACGTGGCCCCAGCTGCCGCCCTCGTTGGACACGCTACTTCCTACTCCGCCCCACTGGCCGTCGCCGCCCCTATTGCTTACGGTGGTGTCATCGGACACGGTGCCGCCCTGGGTCTTGGAGCTCCTATTGGACTTGGTTACGGAGCAGGTCTTGGTCTTGGACATGGAGCAGGTCTTGGACTTGGATATGGAGCAGGTCTTGGTCTTGCAGCACCTCTTCGACTTGGTCATGGTGGCGCCCTTGGAGTGGGATACGGCTTGGGTCTTGGCAAGGGTCTCATCCACTGAAAAACAAAATGTGAATAATTAAAAAAAAATATTTTGAGCTGCAATGTAAAGTATTTATTTATTGAAAAGCATGTTTTTTAAGTATAATTATTAAAACAAGATTGATTTATTTGTATTTATACGTTTTAAATAAATATCTTTGTTTACAAATTCTGATGTGTTTGACTCTATTTTGATTTTAACTCGTTAGAATTCATATCCAGACAATTAACAATACGTTTACGAAATTCTTTAATAAAAATTTACTAAGCTTTTTTTTTTAACTCAACAACAACATTTTTCATTATATTATCTATAATATTAAATTCGGTATAATTTCAAAAAGAAAATTCTTTCTAAGTTTTAAAATCTTTTTTTCGGAAATTGCAAATAGTCATGTAAATTTTCTTTGGAAATTAAAATATTTTTTTTCTTGTCTTCAATTTATATTAAGCATATGGTTAATTAAAAATTTATGTTTTATATTGTTAATTAATTTAAAAATATTTTAAAGCCCAATTTTCGAATTAATACAGAAATTGATAAATCATATACACTTTTTAATTAAATCTCTTAAAATTATTTTATACAAATGCTTAATCCTAATTTTAGTTCTCTAATGGAGGACGAAATAGTTACCTATATTTTTATTCGAAAGGATGCAGTAAAATATATAAAGTCTTTTTTAATATAAAATATATTTTGCTTATGTTAAAATATATAAATTCTTGCCAAACAGAGCTTTTTAAAATTAGGAAAAATCTCTTCTAGGTCAGGGGTGGCCAACCCGCGGCCGCCATGGCTATTTTTCCGGCCCGTGAGATTTATTACACTTTTACAAAATATATTTCTTTAATAATGTCCAAAGTAGTGAAAAACAATGTATTAAAAAATTAAATTATGTGTGCATCCATCTATTCAAAAATGAATTATCGAAATGTTGAATCATTAAGAATAACTGTCTCTGTATTGAAAGCTGCATTAGAACAACAGCAACATAATCTAGCGCAGTAAAGTGAAAGGTTATATATGTGAAACGAATGTAAAAATATCTTTAGAATGCCATTCTTTTCAATATTATCATGATGAAGGTTTGGTTTGTCGTTCTGTGCTCATCTTGTGCGCAGGACGGCTAAGCAGACCGGGAACAACAAATGATGAAAGTTGAGAAAAGTAGTGTCCTTCTTCATAGTAATCTAAAGATTTGTATTCTTAACGTTTTTTATTGGTAAAAATTCTGATAAAGGACTTCTGATATGCAGAGTCTCTACTTGTACGGACTGATAGAATCTCCCACCAAATTTACATTCCAACGACCTTCAAATGCTTTTCCATTATAATATATTGACGGAAACTCTTACCCTTTTTAGTTATTGATTCAAGATTTTAAGGGTTTTGGTTTGTCGCTTTACGGTCATTTTGTGCACACTTTGGGCTAAACAGACCGGGACCTACGGCTTAAAGTGGATTCCGGACCACTACTTCTACTACACCAGACCACATCACTGTGCCTAGATCTGAATCTCCCCTCTACAGTTCCGGAGTGCTGTGGATGAGATGAAGTCATATCGGGCTCTGTGACGCTCTACGGTCATATGAGACCGGGACCTACGGCTTGAAGTGGATTCCGAACCACTGCTTCTACTACACCAGACCACATCACTGTGCCTAAATCTGAGTCTCCCCTCTACAGTTCCGGAGTGATGTGGGTGATATGAAGTCATATTGGGCTCTGTGACGCTCTACGGTCACATGAGACCGGGACCTACGGCTTAAAGAGGATTCCGAACCACTTCCGAACGCCGAGATTTCGACCTGAAACCTGTTATACCGAGTGCCAGAGCGCTAGCCACTTGGCCTTCAGGCCGCCAAGATATTAGGTAGACGGTACATATTACGCCCGTCAAGTTCATCGAATGTTCTCAATATAATTTGAATTGAATTTATATTTTTTTGTATTACAGGGAAATATTTGTATTTTTTTGTATTACATTTAAAGAAGTTGTTTTTAAGTTTAAAAACAACTTCTTTAAATGCATCCAAGCATCCTATTCCTTTGAGTTCAAGACAGTTACAAAGTTGGAAAACCTTTTTCTTGTGTCAATACTGGCGAAGACACCTTTCAACTTTGCTTCTGACAAATGAGAGAAATTTTTTGCCTTTGTGCTCCGAACAAGGGTCAGTTTTTAAAACATCTTTTACAAATTGCCTCATGATGTCCAATTTTTACAATTTTAAGTGACTTTCAAGGTCACATGTTTAATTATTTTTTAAACAAGTGGTTTTGCATACCATAGAATACTCCAAACCTTTGGAACATGAGAAATACTTTTCCCTCGTTGCCGTTTCCTTAAATCTTCTAATCAAATATAATATATCTTGAGCGTCTAAGACAGAGGTGTTCAACCCAAATTATCATGCGGGCCACTTTGAAAATGCATCCTAACTCGGCGGGCGCATATAAAATTATGTATCCCCATATCAGCTTTGGACTCACTATAGATATATTATCGGAGTGAAAAATTGAAACACATTGAGATATCATTTTTGTGTTTACCATTATTCCTACATGTAAACATAAATAATATAATAGACAATGATGCTAAACGCCCACTGTAAGGAAATATATAGCACTAAAAATGAAATATACAAATATATATAAAATCAAATCATAAATGAAAATAAAAATATAAAGGAAATCATTAAAAAATATTTATTTTACTAGTGCGATATGTGTTTCTCCACTCTTTCACTTAGCTTTTGATAATCGATCTCAATTTGAGTATTTGCACATTGTAATGAGTTCTGCGCCAGTTATGTTTGAGTGTGTTTGGTGTTTGGTGAATTTTATTTTTGAAAAAAAACGATTCGTAGATGTAAGCTGAACCAAAAGCGCTAACAACTTCAATTAAGAGTCTAATTTGCTCTACTATCAACAATCAACTGAGCGTACCTAAGAATGGTCACTGAGGTCACTTAAAGTGAAACATAGAACTGTTATATTAGATGTTCCAAGATACGCATCATAAGTTCGCAGAATATAATTTTTCTGCGTACTCATAACTGTAAACTCATCAATAAAATAGGCAATATTTGTCATATATGAGCAAGAATATTATTTTATAATATAAATTCTTATTTTATTAATATAAATATTAAAGAAATATTCTTGATAAAGAATTTCAGGAAATATTAAATATAATTATCATTTAATAAGTTGAATTCGTTTCGGTAATACCGTTTCATATACGATATTGGTATTTCATCTATAATATCTTGATAATCATGGCAACGTGACTGAGCTGCACTTTTTTTTTTCACAAAATGTCACTTTTTTTGCGCAATATTCTCAACCAGTCAGCCTATCTGTAAAATATTTTAATGTTAAAAAAATCCTTGAAAAGGCAATCTCTATGTCTACATTATAAGAAAAAAAATGAGATATATATGTTTAATTTTGTGCCGCAGTTACCCAGAAATAATGTGACCTGTTCCAGAAAGAAACCTCTTACGTTTCAGTTGCCAACGTAAGTAATGTAATTATCCACCTCAAGTATGCATAAATTGAAAAGAATGAAAAGTAAACAAATGCACATTCTGATCGAGAAGCAATGCTTTCTGAAGGTCGACTGAACACGGCATTGAATGACCTTTCCAAAAGGCGAGACTTAAGAAATGATCACGTTTACTAGTTTTTTGTTTTTTTCAGGTGAGCAAGAAATGTTTCACTAGATTATCTTGTTGATTGAACTATGAAATGGGGCGTTACTTTCGCTGAAGTTATTATTTGACTTGACTTGGTGATTTGAGATGTATGCTCGCTGACGCTGTTTTATCTCAATTTATCCAATTGGGTTTTTTTTTTTTTTTAAATATGACTGACAAAACATTACATCAGAAGTGCAAATGAAACCCCCATAAAGGAACTACTGTAATACTCTAATGGATTCTAATCTTTAGAGTAATTTATAGTAAAATAAGTACAGATTTCGTAAAGCAAACTAATGTGTAACATTTTTTTCTTACAAAGTAAATAAAAATACTCTATAATCAAATAAATAATGAATCAAATAAAATTTAATTATCTATAAACAAAATCGTATAAAACATACTTTCTGTATTAAGAAAATTACAGAACCCCTAATTGAGTCAGAGTATTTTATATGTACTGTGTTGACTTGACTTGGTACTTTGAAATGTATACTCGCTCAATTTATCCAATTGCTTTTTAAAATACAACAGATAAAAGAATTAGACAAAAATGAAAATGAAACCTTTATAAAAGAAATACTCTAAAATTCGAAATTCCAGAAATCATTGCCTTCAAATTCCTTTAAAAATACAAGAAATATTGCTTGCACTTTCTAGCAACCAAAAGAACAACAAGTAATATAAAAAAATAAAAAAAATTTAAGTCAATTCCTTCTTTTTTTTCACTGTATTGCAGAAAGTCCTTTATAAATAATTTTCATTCATTTTTTTAAGTTTATCTGGTGCCATCTATTGGTAGATATATGCAACTTAAATCTAAAAAAAACATAACTAATTAATTAATTTTAATTACTGAATTAATATTTGAAAAAACTGTATTAACATCCAGTGTCATCCACTACAAGTTCAAAAAATGTATCTGAACTTGAATGGATGAATAAAAAGTATTTTATGAACGATTGAAAATTTGAACAAGATATATATAGGGAGAGTGTGAGCTAATAGAAGGAATTGAAAAAAAAAAACGAGTATATTTGAACACGAAAGAAATAGACAAAACTACAGATCAAATAGATCACATCATTTTAACAGTTAAACGGTGATTAGAACACATGAAGCACAACTAGTACTTGAATCAAATAGTGAAAAATGAAATAACCCCAGAAAAAATATGCGGTGTACCCCATGGCTTACGGGGTTTCGTAGAAATTGTAGTATCGGTGTTGTATAAGCGTCCTCTGACATATCAGATATCCAAGAGTAAGACAGAAATCTACATCCAAAAGCGCTTTGCAGTTTATTTTGTGCGTCTACATATTTTATGTATTGAAACAAAATGTGTTCAACTGTTTCCGGAGATTTGCAGATCGAGCATAATGGAGATGAAGTCAGGCCAAATCTATGGAGTTTTGCGTTGCTAGGATACGTCTTTGTGCTAAATCTGAAAATAAGAATGTCTTCTTTTCTATGATTAGGGAAAAGTTTGTAAGGAGGTTTAATGCTATTCAAATGACTTAATTTTTGAGCATATTTCCCACCCATCCAAGCAGTTGCTATTAATTCTTTTAATTAAATCAAAATACTTTTTTTTTCTTTTAAATTTGAGCTTAAGAAATAATTTTTTAATAAAAAATTTTTTTTCAAATAATTAAAAAGATTTTCAACTTCTAAATAAAATAATCATGGGATTTTAAATTTTTGTGAAGTATTACACAAAATTTCAGTAATGAAACATTGAAAGAAAATTATTCAAAAGAATTTTTCATTTCTTGAAAACAATAAAGCGACGCTATCTTCAAACTACACGTGCCCCCTAGGTAGTGATAATTTATATTTAACAATAACGATAAAAGCAAAAAGTAATGTAGCCACAGCTCTGGTCACTCGGCCATCAGGGCTGTTAACACTTTTTCCCTTGAAAAATTGGATCTTGTCCAACGCATATAAGCACTGAAACATATAAAAATTAAATTGATTAGTGTAATAATAATATAGTAAATATCAAATCTGTCCTTATTCAAAAGGTTTTCAAATACCCGCTTATAAAAAAACCTGCTAAATAAATAAAACTTAAATTTAGTTTTATACATGGAGTCGTTATTTTATTACGTTTGTATCATATTGCATCGATAATACATTTATTTATTGGAATAAGTTTAATACGAGTTATTATTTTTTTTTGTAATAACGTCAAATTATATGTAACATTTATATTAATATAGGTTCGGTTAGATCACCGAAGTCAAGCATCATTGGGCGCGATCAGTACTTGGGTGGGTGACCACCTGGGAGCACCGCGTGCCGTTGGCATTCACTAATTTGGGACTTGAATGGCCGAGTGTCTAGCGCTCGGTGCTGCAGGTTTCGGGTTCGAATCCCGGTGGTGCCATGGATGTTTGTAGTGGTTCGGAATCCACTTTAAGCCGTAGGTCCCGGTCTCTTATGCCTGTAAGAGCGTCACGGAGCAGAAGTCAGACTTCTACCTACGGGTGCTCCATCAGAACAGAAGCTGCACCCCTCTTCCCTCCTTCCGTGAGGGACACGATAACAACATAACAACATATTAATATAGGTAATTATTCCTTTTTTATTGTTTCATATTACATTTATCCAGGTGTGGCCAACCCGCAGCCCGCCTTGAATATTTTTCCGGCCCGTGAGATTTATCACACTTTTACAAAATACAATTATTTCATAATGGCCAAAGCAGTGAAAACAAATGTATTAAAAATGCATCATGCGTGCATCTCTGTATTAAAACATTAACTGTCGAAATTATGAGAAAAATTAACATTGATTTTATAATAATATTTGATATAGAATATAGGACAGATATTGCCTGTTTTATTTATGAGTTTACACATATGAGTTCGCAGAATAATTTAATTATATTCTGCAAACTTATGATGCACACGCATCTTGTAACATCTAATGTAGCAGGTTCTATGTTTCACTTTACTATAAGTGACCTCAGTGACCATCCCTAAATGCGCACAGTTGCTGTTGATATCAGAGCAACGTTGAAGTTGTTAGGGGTTTTAGTTTAACGCATACCTGCGAATCGTATTTTTCTACAATGAAATTGTCCCAACACCAAACACGTTCAAACATAACGGGCGCTCACCTGCAACACCCATTACGATGTGCAAATACACAAATGGAGATCGATTTGCAAAAGCTCAGTGAAAGAGTGGAGAAACTAATAACCTTACCTAACCGCACTAGTAAAATAAATATTTTTTAATGATTTCATTTTTTTATTTCATTTATATTTATATATTTTTTGTATTACATTTTTAGTATTATATATTTCTTTGCAATGTGCTTTTAGTATCATTATTGTTATATTATATATGCTTACATGTAAGAATAATAGCAAACACACAAATAATAATTCATTATGTTTCAATTTTTCAAACCAAAAAATGTCTGAAAGAGTGGAGAAATAAATATCGCACTAGTCAAATAAATATTTTTTAAGGATTTCATTTTCTTTTATTTCGTTTATATTTATATATTTTTTTTTTCATATTTCATTTTTAGTGTTGTATACTTCTTTAAAATGTGCGTGTATTATTATTATTATTATTATATTATCTATGTTTACACGTAGGAATAGTAGTAAGCACTAAAATAACAACTCATTGTGTTTTAGTTTTTCACTCCAAAAAGATGTCTATAGTGGGCCTAAATATAATCTGGGGATTTATAATTTTATATGGGGCCCGCGGAGTTAGGATACATTTCCAAAGTGGCCGGCAGGATCATTTAGGTTGGCCACTACAGCATTTATCTATAAAAAATATGAAATATGAAATATAAATATATATATATATATATATATTTCTTTTTAAATTCTTAATAATATAAGGGCGCATTCACGCGTAGAAAAAAGTCATCCAGTCATATTTAAAAAAATTTCAGCATTAATTATTTCCCAAACTCAAATTAAAATCGAATTTGTTCAGATTCGACATTTTAGATATTCAACTTCCTAATGTTTTGAAGCAAAGCAGGAACTGAAAAAGTTTGAAGGTCGATTCTCCCAGACAGGAATGACACAATTATTATTGTAGTTTTCTGCGTTGACGCATTAAGAGTTTTCATTGCAACACTACGTTTAACTGGAAATTAAAAGTAAAATAAATATTCACTCAAGCATCTTTCGAAGGTGATGTCAATGAAATGGTAATCTGAAGTGGGGTTATTCCCGTATTAATGTCCTTGTCAATTCAGCTATATAAAGAAACAAATTTCGCTTCTATTTCACAAATCATTAGAACTTAATAATTTCTAAACATGATTGCTAAGGTAAGCTGTTTTAACATATTTCCTTTTAATGTTTCATTTTTAAAAAATATGCAATTATTTTAAAAATATAGAGACTAAAAAAATCTAATCTTAGATCTAATTTTCGAAAGAATGGTTTTATTAAAAAAAAATTTTTAAATCTCAATAAATAATGGTTAGCATTTTGAAATTTAAAAAAAACTATAATATTAATATTATCTTTTTAATTTTAGTATTTTTTTCTACTAAACCAAGTATTAAATAAATATTAAAGTCTTTTTTTTTAAATAGACAAACTGAGACATTTTGTTTTATTAAACTAAAATTAAAATTAAAGAGTATGTAAGTTAAAGTATTAAGTTTTATAAAAAATTTTATTAAACTAAACTTAAACTTTTAAAATTAAAATATAAAAAGATATAAATGTTTTATTAAATGAAGTAAATTAAAATTAATATTGATGAACATAATTAGGAAATCAATTACCGTTAATGTTTAAATTACAAGTCGCCAACAATTAGAAACATGTTTCTTTTTAATTTTTAAATATTAACAGTTAGATTATTTTTTATCCAAATAGAAAATAGACGTTGCGGTTATGGGGGGAAAAAATATTACGCTGAAAATAATTTCAACATCAGTGAACAATTAACATAATGAAAAAAAAAGTTATTTAATGGAATCATGCTCATTTGCAGAGAAAATTCTCAGGGCATTAATTATTACTATATTTTTTAAAATAATTTCAAGTAATTGCTGCATCTGTTATATCGAGACATCAATACAAAAATGCACGTCAATAAATTATAAAAATTTTAGAACATATTGAACAGAAACTTTTTCTTTTTTTTCTTCTACTGCAGCTGGCAAATAGACCGTGATCTTTCGCTATAAGAGGGCTGCACCGATGTTACTCACTTTGCATTACCCAGGGGGGCGCGTGTAACTTAATGGTAAGCCACGGACGCGGAGTAACAATGCCCCCGCAATGCTCTACGATACTATTAGGATCGGGACCTACGGCTTAAAGTGGATTCCGAACCACTACAAACACCCCATGACAAAGCCGGGATTTGAACCCGATACCTGCGGTACCGAACGCCAGAGCGCTAGCCATTCGGCCCAACAGAACAGAAACTTAATCTAATAAAATTTTTAAATAAATAACAATGCAGCATTTATGGAAGAGACGATATTTCTCACAATTTACCTCTAAAAACTTTTACTATTTCAGGTTACCATCCTCTTCGCTGCCCTCGCAGCAGTCCACGCCAGTGGCCTCTTGGGACATGGTCAACTCATCAACACTGGAGTCAGCAACAGTGCCCGATCTCAAGATGTAAGCAGATGTCTCTTTTACTTAATTCATCTTTTCACGTCATTCATCATCAGATAAACAATATTATAACGGTAAACTATTACGAAATCGTTCATGAATTTTTCCCACCTTACTTAGGCTTATGGCAACTACGCTTTCGGCTACGGAATCAAGGACGGACTGGGTGCCACCAACTCCCGATCCGAAGTGGGAGACGCCCACGGAAACAAGAAGGGATCCTACACCATCGCCGACATTGACGGTAGGGCCCGACGGGTGGACTACGTCGCCGACGGACACGGATTCAGGGCCACCGTCAAGACCAACGAGCCAGGAACCGCCGCCAGCGCCCCGGCCGCAGCCCTCATCGCCAGCCCCTACGGCGGACCCGTCGCCCCCGTCGTCAACCACGTGGCCCCAGCAGCCGCCCTCGTTGGACACGCCGCTTCCTATGCCTCCCCATTAGCAGTCGCAGCCCCTGTAGCCTACGGTGGTGTGATCGGACACGGAGCCGCCCTGGGTTTTGGAGCTCCTCATGGACTTGGTTACGGAGCTGGTCTTGGACTTGGTCACAATGCCGCACTTGGTCTTGGCTATGGTGCTCCAGTCGGACTTGGATATGGTTTGGGAGTTGGCAAAGCTCTCATCCACGAAAGGACTTAAGCTCTGTAAGCATAACTTATTATTAATATTCATTAAATATAGTTTATAATTGAAACACATTTTATATTAGAAGTAATTAATATTTATTACATTTTCCCATTCAATAAATTTTAAATATGTTTTCTTATATATATTTTTTTAATTTATTTAAATTTTCTTTTTAAGTTAATATTTTTTTATAAAATTTTAGAGTTGTTTTTGCAATAAATAGCTAAATTAATTATTTATGCTTTATTTTATAAATTTTGTTTAAATTTACTGCTTCAGAATATTATTGAATATAATGTTAAGATTAAGATTCAATTAATATTAATTATTTATTTTTCAAATTAAAATTGTTGTAATATTTATCCTTATATATAGTTTTACTTTATTCATATTTTCATTTTAAGTTAATATTTCTTTATAAAATTTTAAAAGTGTGTTTGCAATAAATAACTAAATTAGTAATTTGTTTTATTTTATAAATTTTGTTTATATTTACTCTCTCAGAATATTATTGAATGTATTGTAACGATTGAGATTGAATTAATATTAGTTATTTATTATTTCAGATTAAAATTGTTGTAATATTTTAAATATTTTTAATTGATATTAATTATTTTTACCTTTTAACTATAAATATTGTATCATTTCATTTATACTAATTTAAATATTTTTATTTTAGATTTAATGAAGAATTGCACCATGTGTTCATCGACTTATTTCACTATAAAGGCAGAATAATTTCTTTTTTTTGAGGGGGGAATAACTTTGAAATTTCCTTTTCAAGAAGTTCGTCACAAAGAAAAGCATAAAAGACAAACATTTTACGGAATTTGAAAAAATTCTGAGTAATTATTGTTTGAATATCTGCATCCAAGAACTTATTCATAGATGTAAATTGTAAATAAATGTTTTCAGCTAAACCTTTAGATTCCTATTTTATTATTCAACGTAGTTATATCTTGTTTCTAAAACAATCACAAACAATTTAATCTCAATCACGAACAATTTAATAACAATTCCAAACAATTTAATCGCAATCCCCAACAA